CCAAAATGTATAGGTAAGTCCTAGATCTCAAGTCCCTTGCTGGGAGAAATCATCAGACCATATGCATCGTCAGAATGATTTCTGCCCGAAGAATGTGGATTTGCGCGCCACACATGATATTACCTTTATTAGTCATTACGAAAATCACAACATTGGTCGAAATTTCTGGAGCCCTCCACTACGGCGTCTCTCATAATCATATGGTGGTTTTGGGACGTTAAACCCCACAACACAATCAAAATCACAATATGCCAAGGTGGGGATGCCATCGATCTTTTTAAGTGAACAAGACGCGAGAGCTGCGCGAGTTAGTTTTTACTTCAGGTACCACTACCGCGCCGACGGAGACATATTCCGCTTCCCACGAAAATGCTTGCAACGGCAGAATGCGGAATGCAGCCTTGCAAAACAAATAGATTGCACGAAGTTAAAGAAATGATAAGAAGTGTGGAAACGCGCAACCATGAGATAGCAATTTACTATACGTGCATGTACGGGGGTCGTGTACTCTATACCCTTATCCTGTGGAAAGTGAACATTGGCCAAACCGAACGATGTATTAATGATCGGTTAAGGGAACACGCCCAAAAATTAACAAAACGAGATGACAAGTATGCGCACCTGGTCGCGCATGTCATCTCGTGTGGTTGTGACGCGCGATTTCCCGAGACGAAGATTTTAGGCAGAAGTGCAAGTAAAACTGCACGTGAAGTGTTACAGGCATTTTTCATTGAAAAATAAACAACAACAAAACAAAGATCACTGTGTAAGTTTCCGTTTCCAGTTTATCACTTTGATGGTCCGACATTGATTAACTGTAAGTACTGATAATGTATGCTATTGGCCTTCTATAGTATTAGTGCGCACATGTGCCATGCATATATTCAAGCCTTCGAGCTATGAATAAATCAGTTGGAAGTGAGCGCTGTGTGTGTTTGATGCCTGGGTGTGTGCGTGTTTGAGTGATTGTGTCGTGTGTTCGTGCTCGAAATAACTTACTGACATGAACGTATGTGTGCAAAAAGCATTAAGTCGAGCCAGAATAATGGAAAACGAGGAAGAAGAAAAAGCTCGTTATTCAGACAGACAAAAAAGGGGGGTGGGTAGGGGGGCTCGCGCGGGCGAGACAGTTCGGAACGCGGTCAGAACGGGCCGGACTGCTACCAAACCTGTTTCGTACCACATCATCCGCTCTCCTAGTTTTTGCTGTCCTTGAACCGACCGGAATCGGCTAAGTTCTACTCAGCCCGTAGCTGAAAAAGCCTCTTGCTTCCTTGCTGGTCTGTTTGGCTAAGTACCGTGTATAGTCTTCTTCTCTTATAGGATCTTTCATTTAAAAGTGGGCCAAGTTTTTTATTGGTTATTTGAAGGCGCACTGATGTCCAGGAGTTATCCTGGGCAGGATCGTTCCCCGTGGATGGCCTCCGTGCGGCATAATGACCTTCCTCTTTACTTCTTTCTCCGTGGTGGTGTGAGCAGCATTCTTGTCGCGCTAATACCTTTGGGTGGTCACTTCATTAGGTTGCATAACCTGAACGCCATTCAAGAACACCTTCATGCAGTGTCCTTAAACTACCAGACCATAACTGACGTGCGGAAGTTTGGTCGCGGTGGGATAGTCTGCAGATCGCCAGACTAAGGATCTGTGAGAGCCTTCTCAAACGTTCATTCTTAGCATCAATTCTGGTGAGTATATTCGTTCCCTCGTCTGGCTTGCACAAAAGCCATTGTGCGAGGTGCAGACGCACAGCTGAGCCCTGCCGAAACTCTAGAGAAGCTCTCTGTTGCAGGTGTGGTGGAAGTTTATCGATACAATTGAGTTGTAGACAACAAGCGCGTCCCAACAGAGTCCGTGATTGCGACTTTTGCTGACACCTCATGTCCTTCTCGGATTAAAGCGTGGCCTCTGGTGTTTTGAGTAGATCAATCTGTGTATCGCCCATTGCAATGCCGGAACTGCTGGAGGTTCGGTCATAGGGCCGATGGCTGTAAGCTAGATGGGTGATGCAGCGGAAGTGGTGTAGACCACGCAAATTGAGAATGTAGGGCACAAGAGGACAAGTGTTGTTTTGTGGTACGTAGACAACGCGCTGCTGACTACTCAGATTGTCCAACTAGACAACAAGAAATGTAAGTTCTCGAGGTCATTATTAAAAGGAGATGCTCTAGGGGGGAGGCAATGACTATTATCAAGGAACGAGATTATGGTTATGCTGGCGTTACAGCACGTCAAACGTTCACGGAAACGAGCATTGCACAAGCAGTCGAGGTAGCTGTAGGAAAAGCTATGGCTAGGGTGATGAATCAACAAGTTGACAGCATCTCCAAATGTATTGCTGCAGTCGTAACCAATGAAATTGCTAAGCTTACAACCCCGCAACCAACCGGTCCTCTCGAGTGGTGTAAATTCCCTACCACCAAAGAGGTAAATCCGACACACCCTTAGAAAAAAGGTGGTAGTACTTGCTAACTTTGGGGTAGTAATGGTTTGTCACATATGTTACAACCCTGGCAGTAAGCACAATTAGTAACAGCGAGGGAGGTAACGCTTACCACCTTTGCTGTTACTACCAGCATTTAGTAACTGTTGCTACCCTAGCCGTTACCACCAATGGATAGTAACTTTTAAAGGTTTCAAGAAAAAAAAGTGATATGGATACTTGTTCGTTCATTTTGACATTATTCCTTCACTGTTAATTTTGGTCAATAATTGTGTCATTACCAGACAAGATCGGGTAAGAAAGAGTGGCGTGCAATAAATTCGAAGAAGGAATAGACCAAATAAGGTCACCACGTTTTTACGTGTACACGCAGTAAGACGTACGCATGGGGTATATATAGCCCCTACTTTGTAGGGGCATGTTTGGCACAGGGGAGCACGTGTGTTTTAGAATGAAATATAACGAATTTAAATCTATAGCACTTTAATATACTACATGGTTACGTTTGTTTGGTAGCGTAGCGCAAGAATTTTAATCAACATTACTTATAAAAAAATTATACGTTATATTTATTTATCACAAAACAGCCACAAAAAAGCATTATGTACAGTGGCCGGAACAAGGTACCGAATTTAATCTCGGTGCATTTGAATGCTTCACACGGCTAATATATCAGCGTTTAAAAGGTAATAATTGTTTTCGGTGCTCGACGCGCAAAAACAATGATAATATTTGGAGACACGCCGCAGTTGAATAACTGTGGCTGTCCTCGGGGTTGTATGTGAGAGTCTGGTAATTTTGATCTGCCGGTCTTGTTAATATGTGCTCTAACTTACTAAGTTTGTTGTAATTGTCTATTACAATGTGTGTTGCACTTGCTTATGGTTCGTTAACTTGTACTTCTCTGTTTCACAATATCAGAATGACGTTTACATATCTAGGTTGCGTAATTTAGAACAAAAATTATTTTCTTGATCTATGGATACCTTCTGCGTCATTTTTCCGTTTATTTATAATACGTCGAGACAATTCCTCTCATAAATCATATGAATCGCATTCACACGCTATTTTTGAATAGATAGTCAAAAGCCGGGTAGCAAAAAAGTAACGATCAAGAAAGGTAGTAACGACTGCAGTTACTACCTCTTTCATGCCAGTTACTAACTGTTTTCTAAGGTAGGTAGTAAACAGGTCGCAAAATGCTAGTAACGGTTGCAGGGAATAACTGTTCACTAACGAAGGTAGTTAACAGGTAGCAAAAGGTTAGTAACGGCCGAAGAAAGGTAGTAAGCGCTGCAGTTACTACCTATTTGCTTGCAGTTGCTACCTTTTTACTAAATTTTTTTTAAGAAAGTAAGTGACATAGTGCATGCCTCTGATAGCTGCAATAGCTCCGGCCGCTGCACGCTCATTGCCAGTGCTGAGCTTGAACGTATCTACTGATGTGGAAATTTATACCCGTGCTCAGAAACGTAGCCGATCCCCGCTGAACCACGCTAGTTTAGAAAGGTTTAGCGAGCGTTTAGCCGCAGGGCCACGAATACAATGAACTAGTATATACCATGAATGAATTCGAGGTGGTTAAAGGGGGGAAGCAGATACGAAGCGCAAGCCGTAAGAAAGTGTGCGTGTGCCACCTCTCGTTTAGTTCTTGGAATGTCCACTGAATGGCGGTGCTTCTATATGGGGAATATATGATAAAAAGATGCGAGATGGTGGGACTTGGAGTGCTGAATAGATGGACGAACGGACACACACACAGATGCATGGATGGACGCATGAAAGGACGCAGGAACGGATGCATGAACGAACGCAGGGACGGGCGCACGAACAGACGCATGGACGGTCACACAGACGGACGCATGGACGGACGAATGCTTCGCCCCACTCTCCATTTTTCACTCCGTGGATATGCTGCCATTTTTTGTAGTTAACAAACGCTTTTGTTACCTATATCAGTTGTAAAGCGTTTTATAACGTTAATTGTGGTTGCCGTGTTGGCAGCCTACTGCTTATAAATGTATAAAACGTCTAGTAAATTTTTTATACATACTCATGTACTCAAGCTATTTGTCCCCGCAACAAACTCTGCTTACACTTGGTTGCGATAAAAGTGACGTCTGTACTATAACGCGATTGCCGATGGTCGGATACTGAAATAGCATCCACACCCCGGGGAGTCAACGGTTCAGTCCACGATATGCAAACTGCTTAAATACCAAAAATACGTCCATAAGCTCATAAAACTTAGCCTGCTGACTGAATGCTTTGCACGAAACAGATATCAACAATCCGTGGAATCTTATTTTTAGGAGTGGCCTCAGAGCTACGATTGCTGGAGGGCATGCCTAACGACAACTATGAAAGCAAACTAACCTGTTGTGGCTACGTCCCCGTTTGAATCTCCACGTTTGTACAAAACAACGTTTTTAGTGGGATGCAGGGACTATCTACAGGTATTTTAATATTGCCGCGGCAGCGTGGGGATCAGCCAGAGACCGAGGTAATCGTGCGCGTCGTCATGATTTTATGTTTCGTAATGTCCACGATCCCCGGTTGTTAGGCGTTGTCGGAGCCGTCCTGGTCGCTGGAGCGTGAGGTGGCGCTGCTGTCACTGTCCAGCGAGCGCCGCTTCTCCTTCCGCGGCACCAGCACGGCAAGTTCGGGACGTCGACGTCGCAGCGCCTCAAACCATGCCCGCTCCAACTTTTTGTTGCCGCGTGTCAGCTTGAGCCATGTCTGAGAGAGCTTGTTCGCGCTGCAATGGTGGTGCGACACCACCACACACACCTCCAGGTTGATCACCATGTACCTGAAACAAGGAAATTGTTGCCTTTTTTTCAAAGTGATCGACAGGGCCTTCCGGACTACTTGGGCAGCATGTATGTATGTATTAATGTATGTACGTACTTATGTGCATATGTACCTACCTACCTACCTACCTACCTACCTACCTACCTACCTACCTACCTATCTATCTATCTATCTATCTATCTATCTATCTATCTATCTATCTATCTATCTTTGCATGAACGCATGTTAAATCCAGGTGAACGAACTCAAGTGCATATGGAAGCCCTAGGCCCCATGCATTTTCGACCATGTTGAACCGTTTTCTTAGTAACTAAATAGGCTAGCCACCTAGCACATGCAGCCTTATATTCCAAATTTTCCTCAGGCTTTATCCTTACCAGATTCATTATTATGTATCTAATATGTTACATAGTTGACTTTTTTACCGCTAGGACCTAAATTATGGGTCGATTTGTATCTTGCAAAATTTGTAACAAAACGGTAAGTGCATATTACCGATTCTGGTACAGTAACTGAAGCACTTATGGTGATATCAAGAAAAGATAACCGGGTGGTTACACTGAAGTTGAAGGGGATGCTTCAGGGCAATGATTCGACACAGCGGGTAAAAAAAGTGCCGAAGACACAAGAAAAAGGACACAAACAAAAACCCTGGAACACAAAAAAAGTAATAGTACCTGAGTAATGAAAAAAAAACAGCTGTTTTGAGATAATGCAGTGTAACGTAAAAAATAGCCTAAAAGCAAACCTATTTTGGCACAAGCACCGTTCAACTATTTTTTCTAGTATTAGGATTTGCTAAGAATTCAAATCCTTTTTTGTGATCTTGCTTGCCTCGCTTCTTCTGTGAACTGTCGTGTAGCTCTATCCGCCTTTTCAGTGCAGCTTGCTAACGTGATTCTCTTTAAGTGCATCACAAATAATATTCAAATCCATTAAAACATACCAGTTGTCACCTTGCACGCGATGCGCATCGAAAGACACTGAATAGGCAGAGAGAATGGACGAAGAAGTGCTTAAGAGCTTGGCTTGTTCAGCCTTCAGCCCTTTGGTATATCACCGGCATTTATTCGCATTTACAAGATAAGTGTAGTGGTTGCTTCTAAATCTGCACTTGCTGAAGACCACCCAAACCCTCAGCATGTCAAATTATCGACAGGCGCGACAAACACAAGGTGCAATGACGCAATAAAAGGTGAAAGTGTTCCTATATACGGACTCGCTCCAAAGAACAAGCGCAATAAAGAAGAAAGGTGCCCAGCGTAGTATTTTAGCTTTGTTATGGAAAGGTTTTTCTTTTTATAAGAGTGGAACGTATGCACGGAGTGCCTAAGAGTAGCTCACCATGTGTGTTCACTGATTACTTGCTTTAAAAGAAGCTATAGTTTCCATCCAGAAAGGCATTTTTCAGCAAGATGTCTTTAAAGCAAAAATATAAGAAATATGCACATATGGATACACTTCCTAAACTCTGAATAAACAGTGATTAAAAACATTTTGCATTGCTCTGTTATCTTTAAAATCACCTTTACAGCTTATTCACCTGTAAAAGTATAATCAGGAGCAGAATACTTGGTTAGTGGATTAAGTAAAAATTCAGTGAAAGAAGAGCTCCAAGTCCTAAGCGCTGATTTGCATTGGCCTGCATCACAGGTTAGAGGACACGACAACTCACCACCATCTGGTCGGCACACAAAAAACCTCCACCACGGCTTGCAGAATCTCGAACGGCTTGCAGTAGCGCGGCCAACGAGAAGACTGCGTGTTCGGGTAATGCGCTCGAACCACGTGACAGCAGTCTCGATCCAACAGTCCTTGCGCCGCCCTGTGTTCGTTGCAGAGCAGGTACTGCGACACGTGCTGTGGGAACAGGCACCATCGCCGAGCGCCATGCACCAAAGCACTCCACAGGTTGCAGTGCAGCGGGTTCGTCTGGATTCTTTCCCCGGACAGAGCAGGTCCCAAGTTAAAAGGGCGAGCCAGCGGCAGGTCGGACTCCTTGGCGTACTTGAAGATGTCGTCCTTGATGTACAACGGCACGTCGTAGTCTTCGCGCCGCCTCCTCTTGCCTCCGGTTGCCAGGTCCTCGGCGATCTGGAAGGGCGACGGGTCCCGATAATTCTTGCGGTAGTAAGCGAAGTATTTCATCTTCACCATTACGATGTTCTGATTCGGGTCGCGGCACACGACGAACTCGTCGTCACTGTAGATGGACACGAGGTTGTAGAGGGACCAGCACTGGAGCGCTTTCCGCTCGTCCAGCCGACCCTGGATGACCACGGGCTGGCACAGCTTGTCGTTCTTGCGCAGGAATGTGTCGAGAGGCAGGTCATTGGCGTGCAGCCGCTCAATGGCGTCCGTGGGCGTGGACTTGCGTGCCTTCAACGTAGCCTGTAGCTGAGACCTGTCGTGGGGCATGGATGTGGCCAACGCTTGCGACGAGTGGTGCTTTCGCTCCTTGAAGCCCATATTGGCCTCGACCTGCTCTACCCGGTCGATGGCAACTTCCTGAAACTGCAGGTAGTGCGACGACATGCCGCCAATTTTGAACGGATGATAGGCGTTTCTCAACCGTTCCTTGGCGGCCCAATCTTCTGATCGGACAATGGTGCTTGCTGCTTCAACCGCGCGTCTTCTTCTTCTTCTTCTTCCTCTCCTCCTCATCTCATGGCTCTTACCTAATGCAGGGAATTGGCCGAGTATTAGGTGAATTTTTTTCTTCGCAATTCTGCTCGCATATTATAGGGATAGGTTACACAACAAATAATTACTGAATAATGATATATAAATATTTAAAAGAATGAACAACTTATCCCCATATTCTTTTAGTCTGACTGACAAATTCCTCTATGACATAGTAAACATCCCTGTGACTGTAGCCCAGAGTAGAGGCGCCGAATGATAGAACCTCTGATTAGGATATTTCCAGACCAAAGTTTTGCAGAGGTGGCGCTATGAATCTTCTTCTCAATGACGTATACTGGCGATAGGATAGAAAGAAATGACTGATTGTTTTGTTCTCCTTACAGAAGATACACAGAGGAGACAACGCTTGACTTGCTCTATGCAGATAAAAGTGGAGGGAGGTAACCCGGCAGTGAAGTTTGGTTATGACCACTTTCATTATTCTCGACTGTGATAACTCACTGTTGCAGGGAAATAATAGGTGCTTATATTCTACAGAAGATGTTAAGACAGGGTCTGACAGGCATTTTTTTAAAGTTAAGGTGCGGAATCGTGCAATTGTAATGTACGTTGTCAGTGGGAACACCGAAATGATTGGCATCAAAAGCGCCACCTTTGCTAAAAAATCAGCGCATTCGTTTCGCAGCGCAAGCTTCTGTCTTCTTCATTCTTGTCTACAGAGCAGGAAGAAGATGATTGAGAGACAGAACTTGTTTATGAAAAAATACTACATTTTTTGTCTAAATACGTCTTTGCAACAATCGCTATGATTGATTGACATAACGTTCCAATTTTGCAGTCAGTGTTGATTAGTTTATTCCTTAATTCTCTTTTGGATAACTTAAATTTACATAGAAAAAAAGCACAGACACAAAATTTTGATGGCGAAATAATGAATGAAATAAATTTACCTAGAGACATATGCACAGCATCTACGAAATATGAGGGCTCAGATAAAATTGGCAGATCCCACGTACAGTGGGAATTGATATATGCGAAGCACGAATGGGGAAGGCTGATATGTTCCTTTAAAATCAGCACAACGTTACAAGGCGGATGTAAATTATGACGTACATAACTTTCATGTCCTAATTATAATAATTGGACATGTCATTTACCTTCGCCGTGTATTCACATCACGTGATATGAAATTCGGTGTATGATTATGCCTTACGTGACTTCCATGTCAGAATTGTCTTGTCTTGTGTCCTAGGAGATCTTGGCTCATAATTGTAATGTTTAGACGTGTGATTTACCTTCGTCGTCTATTCGCGTCATGTGATACGAAATTTCGTATATGTTGACTTAGGGAAACAGCCGAGAGCGCTCTATGAGCATAGCATGTACTCATGCTTTACATGACACCCATGTCAAGATTATCATGTTTGGACGTGTAATTTACCTTTGTTGTCTATTCAAGTCACGTGAAACCAAATTTGGTGTATGTGGAGCTAGCGAAATGGCCGCAAGCGTGCTATGAGCGTAGGATGTAGTCATGTTTCACATAACATGCATATCATGATTATAATGCTAGGACGTGTCATTTACCTTCTATTCACGTCCCGTATTACCAAATTTGGTATATGCGAAGCTAGCGAAACGGCCGCGAGCACATCATAGCCGTGGCATGCAGTCATGTTCTTACATGACACGCATCTCATGGTTATTATTTTGCACCAGTCACATACTTCCGTCATCCATTCATGTTCCGTAATACCGAATTCGGCGTATGTCAAGCTAGCGGAACGACCACGAGCGCATCATGAGCGTGGCATGTAGTCATGTTCTTACATAACACGCATTTCATGATTATCATGTTTGCACCGCTTATATACCTTCGTCGTCCATTCACGTCCCGTAATACCAAATTTGGTATATGTGAAGCTAGGGAAACGGCAGCGAGGGCATCATGAGCGGGGCGTGTAGTCATGACTTGCATGACATGCGTGTCATGATTTCCACGTCAGAGTCTGTCATTTATGTTCGCCATGCAGTGATGGCATACCGTACCAATTTCGCAATATGTCATGTAAACGAAACCACCGCAACAGCAGCAAGACCCTGAAATATAAATCAAGACATACAAGTCGTGATTTTCATGTTATGACTAGTCAGTTACGATCGTCATACAGTCATGTTATACCCTACCAATTTTGGTATCGATACCATTATCGAAACGGCCAGGTGAGTTACAGTGGTAGGCGGCTAGATAGAGAGATACGCTCAAAGTCATGCTCAAAGTTCGCTAAGAAATGCTACGCATTTAATATAGCCTAGAACGTATTTAAAATCAATTTTAATGTTCGCGCGGCTGAACAAGATGCGGAGTCCCTGACGAAACTGGCGTTAATGTGGCGGGAGGGAAAGGAGGGAGCGAGCACGCGGCTGCATCTTGATGGAGGTGAAAATGCTGTAGGCCCGTGTTCTCAGATTTCGGTGCCCGTTAAAAAACCAGAGCTGGTAAAAATTTCCGGAGCCATCCACTACGGCATCCCTCACAATCATATGGCGGTTGTGGGACGTTAAACCTTACATATCAATCGATTACTACAGGCTTCTCAGACGTCCAAGCTATGCCGGTGTTGCCGTCTCCGGTGAACGGATAGCACTACACGTGCCTGCGGCTTTGCTTTTGCTGGCTGTATAAAGGCTCGTTCACACCGAAGTGGTGGTGGTAGTGGTTAGAAGATGAGAAAAGGCACCTAATTTCTCCAACCCGGTCGGGAGCACGGCGCAGTGCCTACACACACACACACCGAAGTCGGGGCGGCCAAAGCGGTGAAGCGGCAAGCGGAAAGCAGTAAAAACCTCCTCTCCAGGCGGTGAAGGCGGCAGCAAAACCAGGTGGCAAGGGCGATCGTTCTCGGAGCAATGCTTTTTTTTTTTTTTTTTTGCGGCCTGCCGAGGCTCCCCGTTTGCCGCAGCAAATCAGAACGCCACGCAGCGGAGGCGCGGTGGTGGCACGGGTGTACGTTTGGAAGAAGCACTGAGACGTCTTAGCGAAACGTGTGCAAATGCGCGAGATGCCTACCTGTTCTGCCGCGGGGCCAGCCGAAGGAGGCATGCGGTCTGAACAGGTTCACGCGCTCGCCACCTCGCCGCTTCGAAAAGCTCGCTTGGCCACTTTGCCGCCCCGCCTTCGGTGTGAATGCGTGGTCACGGGGCCAGCTATGTTTATCTTGCTACCGGAACTGCTCCTGCTCTGCTCGGTGCTCTTTGAAACCAAAACTGCGATTGGGTACTCTAAAAACTTCTCTAGGACAACGGCCGTCACGTAAACAAGTCTTCCAGCCGTATAACAAAAAACTGGCCACTGCGAAAAATAAAAAAAATAACAGCAGCAAAAGAAATCGAAGTGTAAAATTTTTGTGTCAGTGCTCCTTTAAGACAGCTTTGCGCTAGTGGTACCAAGCCTAAATGAAGCATGGAGATGGACGGCCTTTGTTTTTCTCTTTCTTTTCCTCCATTTTTTGGATGTCTCTTTTTATTTGCGTTTTATTGGCACTCTACATATTTGTTTCCATTTTGCGCTACTTCAATATATATTTAATTTTTCACTTTCTGGATTTCTCGTTTTATCATTCTTTTTTCTTCAATCGCTTTCTCTCTATTTCTTTCTATGCTATGTCTTATGTTCCCCCTTCTTCTGTTGTTCTCTTTCCTTGTTCGATTTCGTATACTATGATTTGGAACGCCATGTTATGCTTTGATAACATGCTTGTATAGCCCAGTGTTCTGTTTTTGTTTGTTTGTTTGAACGATACACGTTTTTGAATTGTCTATGTATGGATCCGAATACTGCCTCGTCCAGAAATGTTTTCGCCAAGCATTTCTTCATTTCTTTTCCATTCTTTCTTTCTTTTCGCTCCCTTTCTTTCTTTCCCTTCCAATTTTCCTTTTTTTCTCTTTAATCATCTTTCTTTCCGTTCTTGTTCTCTCACCGATCAGAGTCCACACCTGATCTTGCTGACACCTCTGTCGACAAGATCAGGTAGACCTAAATTTTGCTTTAGCACAAGTTAGTGAGGGGTGTGCTTTAGCATCAATGACATTAAACCCTGACAGAACGGTACTCCTACGTTTAACGAGAGAAAAAGAGACATTTTACCTTTACTTATAATGTTCAAGGAGAAACCTAGGTTTTATAGGCAAACAGGTGAGTCTGTTGACGTCTGTTAATGTCTGTTGAACAAAGCACATTTTAAAAAATAACTCTGGTGGTTATGCTGTCAATGGTTTTTAAATATAATTTCTTTGCGTACTGCGACCACTTTGAGCACCTATCTATCTATCTATCTATCTATCTATCTATCTGTCTGTCTGTCTGTCTGTCTGTCTGTCTGTCTGTCTGTCTGTCTGCCCGTCTGTCCTTCTGTCGATCTATCTATCTGTCCGTCCGTCCGTCTGTCCATCCATCCGTCCGTCTGTTTATCTGTCCGGCCGTCTATCTGTCTATCTGTCCCTCTGTCTGTCCGTCCGTCTATATGTCCGTTCGTCTGTGTGTCCGCCTGTGTATCTGTCCATCCGCCCGTCCGTCTGTCTATATGTCCGTCCGTCCGTCCATCTGTCTGTCTATCTGTCCGTCTCTCAGTCTGCCGATCTATCTTTCTGTCCGTCTGTCTATCCGTCGGTCTGTCTGTCCGTCTGTCTATCTGTCCGTCTGTTGATCTATCTATCTATCCGCCTGTCTATCCGCCGTCTGTCTGTCGGTCTGTCTGTCTATCTGTCCATCCGTCTCTCCGTCCGTCTGTCCATCAGTATATCTGTCTATCTGTTTGTCCGTTCATCTGTCTGCCCGTCCATCCATCCGTCCGTCTGTCTGTCTGCCCGTCTGTCCAACCATCCATCCG